TCTCCTCCTCTCTCTTGCTGCACTTTCTCGTTCCTTCTGATTCCCTCCTCCTCCTCCTCCCTCACGCCTCCTGTAGGTATCGCGCACTCATCACCCGCCTGGGGATTCGCGATGCTATCAACCTGAACCCGCAAAGAGTCTTCCTGCCCACCGACATCGCCAAGAAAGCGGCGGAGAGAGTGAGCAGGAGGAGGGGGAGAGAACGAGGAGAGGAGAGGAGGGGACGAAGATGGGGAGAGGAGGGGAGGAAGATGGGGAGATGAGTGGAGTGGAGGAGAGAGAGTGCAGGAGAGGGAAAGGGGGGGAAGGAGAGAGGAAGGTAAAAGTTTGAAAGGAAGGCAAAGGGAGAAAGTGATGAAGGTTACGAGGGAATGGAGAGCAGGGAAGATACGAGAGGAGAGTGGAGGAGGTGGAGGAGAGGAGAGAAGAAAAGAGAAGAGTAGGAGCAAGCAGGGAGATGTCTTGACCTGCTGTTCAGGTTCGCAGAAAGCTGGATTTGGCCAAGGCAAAGGTGGTGGCTGCTGCTGGTGGTGGTGCTGTGTCGAAAAAGAAGAGGAAGGGAAGGAAGTAGAGGGAGGAGGATGGTGGGCTGGTGGTTCTAGAGGCTCAAAGTGGGGTCCTTGCTTGTTGGTTGTAAATCTTACTCTTCGATAGACCTCCTCCTCCTCCTGCTCCTCCTCCTCCTCCTCCTGCTCCTGCTCCTCCTCCTCCTCCTCCTCCTTGTCCTCCTCCTCCTTGTCCTTGTCCTTGTCCTTGTCCTTGTCCTTGTCCTCTTCCCTCCATCCGCCATCGCCCTACCTCCCAACTTCCTCCTCCCTTCCCGCTCTACCCTCCTCCCTCCTTCCTCCTTCCTCATCCTGCATAAGGTAACTGAACGGATTGTCCTCCGGATCTTTCTCTGCATGCCAAGCAATCAGTCTGATTTTACCTCCTCCTCCTCCTCCTCCTCCTCCTTGTCCCGCCCGCCCGCCCCCTCCCCTCTTCCCCCTCCCTCTCACTCGTCCTCGTTCTCGTCCTCGTCCTCGTCCTCGTCCTCATCATCTTCTCACCTCCGTCCTGCATCAGCGCCTTGTTGAGGATCCTCTCAACCTGTTGTAAGGTGAGAGCGGAATGCACGATGGGAAGAGGAGGAGGAGGAGCAACAGGAAAGAGGTGGAGGAGGTAGAGAGGGAGGAGGGAGGAGGTAGAGAAGGAGGGGGGAAGGAGGGAAAAGGTGGAGAGGGAAGAGGTAGAGAGGGAGGAGGGAGGGTTGTGAGGGAGGAGCGAGGAGGGAGGAGCGAGGAGGGAGGAGCGAGGAGGATATAGAGTTGTCCTTGATAAGACTTCACCTCCTCCTTCTGCAGGTTTACCCCTATCAGCACAACTTCCGTCTCAGGCTGCCTCCTGCTCTTGCTTGTCCCTTCCCCCTCTTCCTCTTTCCCCTCCCTCTGCTCCCGTCCTCCTCCCGTCTCCTCCTCCCCATCTCCTCCTTTCCTCATGTTCGCATCGTCCACCCTCTCCCTCCCTTCTTCGCTCCCTGCAACAACAAGAAGTCATATTCCTCTCGTCTATCCCTGCTCCTCTTGCTCCTCCTCCTCGCTAGTTTCTTTCCCCATTCTTCTCCTCCTTCCTCCCTTATTGCGTCTTCCTGCTCCCTCCTGTTCCTCCTGTTCCTTCCCTCCCTCTGTTGTCCTCGTCCTCGTCCTCATTCTCTTCCCTCTCCCTCCTGCTCCTGCTCCTGCTCCTGCTCCTGCTCCTGCTCCTGCTCCTGCTCCTGCTCCTCCCTTACCCTCTTCAGCAGCTTCGACGTCCTGACATCTGCCGGCTACCCTCGGGGTAGAGTGAGGGCCCGCAGAAGACCACTCAAGGAGGAGCTGCCGGATAGTCAGGAGAGGAGGAGGAGGAGGAGGAGAAACGACGAGGGAGGAGGAGGAGGACGACGAGGGAGAAGCAGGAGGAGCAGGATGACGACAACGAGAGAGGAGAAGGAGAAGGGAATTCAGGATCGAAAAGAAAGAGAAAGGGGAAGAGAGGAAAGGAGGAGGAGGAAGGACAGAGGAGGGAGGTTGTCGCTTAGGAAGTATGGGAGGTGAAGGGAAGGGGTTTTGGAGGAGAAGAGGACAAGAAACAAGAGGGGGCGCAGGAGGCCAAGGAGTGAAGGATCGAACAAGGTGAGGGAAAGTAGCGGAGGAGAGAAGTGAAGGGGGAAGGGAGGGAAGTGAAGTGGAGGGGAGGGAGGAAGGAAGGGAGGGAGGGAGGGAGAAAGGGAGACAGATTACGACCTTCCAAGTCTTGCATCATGAAACTTTGTGCAACCTGTTCGTTTCATCACTCCAAGTAGGAGGAGCGAGACAGTGGACAGCAAAGAGACGGCAAGTCACCGGGAGAGGTTCGGAGATGCCGGTGCTCTCGATGAGGAGGTATTGAAAGCGATTCTGCACAGAACTTCATCAGCGCTTTGAGGGAAACGAGTTTGAGCTGTTGGTCATGGAAGAGCGATGAGAAACATGTGTCGAAGCAGTCTCGATCTCATCTTCAACTGCATCTGATGTGATGTGATGTGATGTGATGTGATGTGATGTGATCTGATCTGATCTGATCTGATCTGATCTGTTCTCTACCCTCTGCTCTGAACCACCCTGCTCTCTTCGCCCCTCCATTTCCTACCTTGTATCACATCTCCCCCTTCATCAATGTCCTAGCTTCTCTCTGAGGCGGAGTGGTTTTGGTCTATAATCAAATTTTATTTGTATTGCCGTGGTACCGCGATTGCAAGTGAGTAAAAGCTTCGGGTCAAAAGTGGTCTCTAGTTACTACCAGTGGTGACCTCCAGCTGTTGATAATACCTCCTATTTCAGAGTGAGCTTCTACAGGGGTGGGGGCCATCAGGTTGCGGTTGGTAGGGGTAGTCGCTACCGCTACCAGGGGATGCCCGAGGCGAGGTGCGAAGGAATGGATTCTTTCTTATGCGGTACTATGGTAGAAAGCTCAACTCGGTGACCCACGTGAAGGGTATACGGTGGGTGACTGGATGCCGTGGCTCCTCCAGCTGGACAGAGTAGACAGGTTCCCTATGGCTAGTGCAATGAACGTAGGGCGCTTGCTGCTAGCAGTAATATCGGTCTTGCTGTGCACTTCACCTACTTGTGATGCGAGATTGAGCAAGGAAGATTTCGAACACGGCTTCAGGCAAGGAGGAAAGCATTCTTTTGCTGCAAAAAATCTTCCAGGCAGACCGTTGATGATACACAATCCTGATACTGTGTTGCTGCACCATACACAAGATAGGACGCACGCAAAGCTCCAAACCCGATTCAGAGAAGATCCATTGATTGTTCAGAGACAGTCTGACTTGGAGAAGTCCAGTAAAAGTCACTATCTTGTCCGAGTGAAATATCCAGCTCCTCCAGACATGCTCTCTCTGTTGAAGGCTACCAGCGGCGATAATTATGTGCAGTACATTCCCTATGACACCTATGTGGTCGCGATGGAACCCTCGAAAAAAGTTCGTGTTGAAAATATGAAGAATGTTGAGACAATCTTCCATCTCCCGTCAACCATGAAGATATCAAATGACTTGCAAGAGTACATCACTTTGTCGATGAAGTCTCTTTCAGCCAAACAGCCCGAAATAGTCATCAACAACAACCCTCAACATCCTGAGAAACGAGGTACTCTGGATAACAGTCACAAAAAGAATCCACAAAAGAATTTCCAAAATTCCCATGATGAACAAGACAACGTGAAAAATGCGCCATCATGTTCTGACGAGAGCGTCTTTCTTGAGGCAGCCATATCAGTTCACCCTGATCACTTGTCCTTGGCCAACTTGCTGCAAATGTTGGACCAAGCTTTTAGCAAAACTTCGGGCAAGATTGCTCAAGTCTGGGCAAGGACAAGCAGCAAGCTGACGATTGAAACTAATGCGCAAAACGTTGGAAAGATTGTTGAGCATCTAGCCAATCAAGCATCAGTGAAATGGATCGAAAAACGAAAAGAATACCGCACATTGAACAAGTACTCTTCTTTGATTGTGCAAGGTGTCTACAACTGGCAGCCAAGTAAAACTAAATTGGAACAACTTGGTTTGGATGGAACTGGACAGCGCATAGGCATCGCAGACACGGGCATTGATTTTGATTCTTGCTTTTTCCACGATTCCCACATTGCATTTTCAGTTTGTCAAGATTGTTACTATTATGGTTATTCGTGCGTCCAAATGTGTCCGGTTCAACCAAATCATCGAAAAATTGTCTCCTACAACTCGTTTCCCCCCCCTCCACCCTACCCATCAGCTTACGACTGGTATCAGGGCCACGGTACGCACGTGTCGGGTATTGTCGCTGGGGCGGCTGGTCCCAACTATATTCTTGCAACGCAGTACAACGGATCAGCTCCAGGAGCGAAGATTGTATTCGATGATATTTCAAATACTGAGCCCTACCTCAACTACCTGCCCTGGGATCTCAACAACAGCCTCTATCCTCATGCGTATGGTAATGGTGCCAGGATTCATTCAAACTCGTGGGGTCGCAAGTACAGCCGCAGTTACGACTTTCAGTGCGTGGAAACAGATTCATTCATGTACGACCATGATGACTTCTTGGTTGTCTTTGCTGCAGGAAACAGTGGTCCCTACCCCTTCTCCATCGGCAGCCCAGGTGTCGCCAAGAACGTTCTGTCAGTAGGATCAAGCCTGAACTCTCGTGAGGCATACATGGCGCATGGATATGGCCTGTACTTCAACCTCTCCTTGCTGCTCTCTGACGGTTCTAACGAGCTGCTTGTTGACATTTTGCCAGCCTCGTTTGGAGCCGCATTGACTCCTCACACACCTGGAATCAATGCCTCGTTGCTTGGTCAACGTTTCTACAGTTTTTGCAATCGTCATGATCCACAGTGCATGGATATCCAGTCGTTCTTGTGTTGGCCTGTTTCAAACTCCAACTTGACTTTTTCGAAGCAAACTTCAGCAGCTGCTGCAATCTCTGCGAGCTGGTCAGAAGCTCAGAGAGTTGAAATTCTTACAGACATTCAATCAAGCGTTCAGTACCATGGGTACCAGTCGTGTTATGTTGACCCTTACATGTCGGTAACGGAATGTACACATTCGATGTACGTCAATAGGACGTCCAGACGAGATTTCGAGCTGATGATTCAAGTGCCCTTGCAGTATTCGGTTGGCTCTGGCTACGTCACCAACGTCAAGGGCATCACAGTCGCTGGGGAATATGTTCCAAACGATTTCAGTTTGCAAGGCAATCAAGGGTGCGGACAGAGCATCAGCACGACATACAAGTTACCGTCTCAAGTTTCAGGGACGATTGAAGTTGTGGTGCACTATGACCCGAATATGATGTACATGTATCCATGTCAGAGGTCTGGCGCCACTTTTAAGCTCCTTTCACATGCTACCTCCTCATGGAGCATTTTGTATGATTCCCCCATCATTGTGGGGGGAGGGGAAGTAGGTGGTGGTGGTGGTGGTGGTGGTGGAGGAGGAGGAGGAGATCTTCCTATCGTGTTTGGAGAAGGAAATGTTTCTGCTCCTGCTCCCCCCCCTGCTCCTGCTCCCCCCCCTGCTCCTGCTCCTGCTCCTGCTCCTGCTCCTGCTCCTGCTCCTTCTCCTGCTCCTGCTCCTGCTCCTCCTCTTCCTCCTCGTCCAATTCCTCTTCCTCCTTCTGTTCACTACTATTCGCAGATATTGATTGCGTTAAATACTGACTTCGACTTCTGCGTTTTCGGAGAAAATGCAAGAAATCGTACGTTTCTGACAGGAAACTCTATAACATTTGGTTATACCAACTACACGTTGTCTTCACAACAATTCAAATTCAACCATGAGTATTGGGCATATCCAGTATTTATGGCAGGGAAGAAAGTACAGGAAAATGGTATTGAAGGATACACCATCTACATAAAAAGCTATGACATGCAAAACGCACGGGAACAAGAATCGCAAGTCACACTGTACGCGAATAACACTATTACCTTCACCACCTTCAGTTCTGGAAGCAACATTTACAACTCATTCTCATTTTTCATTGGTCAATTTAGAATCTACAAGGACCAAATTCAAACCAACAAAACGGCAACTTTGACCGGATTCTCCAATCCTGCGAGCGAATATTTTCGTAATGTTTTCAAGGGCAACATGGTTGCTTCTCCTTTCATGGGCTATTGCGATGAAGTTCTCATGGCCTGGAATGCACAACAGATGGGAGCTTCAGCGCTGATTGTGTATGAGTCTTCGATTCTAAAACCGCCACCTTTGTTGAAGGGAACAGGAGGACCAAACGAGTACTTGAAAAATCAGATTGAAATACCTGTCGCAGGCATCTCCGGTTTCGACGCAACAAAACTTGTTTCAATCTGGTATCAAGGATCCTGCTCTTCAGAATATGGTCTCTCTTGTCTTTACGCGACGAAGCAGGCAAAGTTGCCAGTGGTCAGCAATGTTCGTTCAGGACAAGAATACAAGCATACGGATCTTTCGATCTTCTCATCGCGTGGGCCAACTTTCGATCTTAGAAACAAGCCTGACATTATCGCTCCTGGTCAAAATATCTTCTCTGCCTCTTCAGACGGGATTCGCAACAGCTACCAATGCGCGAACTCGATCGGGCTCAACAAAAGTTGCATCCTGGAAATGAGCGGCACTTCTATGGCAACTCCAGCTGTTGCTGGAGCAGCAGCCATTGTCAGACAGTACTTCGAGCAGGGATATCAGGTCTCGGGCGAACGATCAGACGACAAGTCTGCCAATCCTTCCTCTGCACTTGTGAAAGCAATGATCATTCAAAGCAGCAAGCCCCTGCGGAGTTTTGTTGTGAATGGATCCAAGATGGTGAAGGATGGGTTGTGGGGATATCTCATGACCTTTCAGGGCTCCGACATGTCATGGCAAGAGTCGACTGAAAGCCCTTCTCCCGAGCAAGGATACGGGCTTCTTGACTTGTCGTCAGTGTTGTGGTTTGGACCAGACTCGAACTTCGTGTTGAAGACTTACGATCGAGTTGAGCTGTCTCAAGATCAAGTTATACAGCACTGCTTTGCTATATCTGGCGGAATCAGTTTCGTGCGACTCTCGTTTGGACAGATCCACCTGGGTCGATGTATGCTTCCAAATCATTGATCAGTGACCTTGACCTGTTCGTGGTCGATGTCAACGGCAGCACGCATTACGGTAACCACCGGACAGCCACCAGCATGGATCGAGTCAACAACGTCGAGCAGATTACAGTCAAAGATGCTTCAGCGGGGACGTACAGGGTTGCTGTTTCTGCTTACGATTTGCCTCAGGGCCCTCAAAAATTTGCACTGGTTGTAACAGGATCCATCACCTCAGAGCCAACTTGCGAGTCATTGCCGTCCTGTCCGAATGATTGCTCAGGTCATGGCATTTGTAGAGCTCCTTTTTGCGACTGTCAAGCGGGATACTTGTCGATAGATTGTAGTCACAACCTCCGATGTGGAGATGGAATTTTATCAGTTCAGGAGGAGTGCGATGATGGCAACTCAGTCTCTGGCGATGGCTGCTCGTCCGACTGTCAGGTGGAGCAAGGCTGGAAATGCGACCAAGAATTGTGGCCAAAAGAGAAGTCCGTCTGTCTCAAGTGTGCGTGTGGATGTATCAGATATCATGAAAACTCTGGCATCGTGAATGTGACCCATTCTGATTATGTGAACATGTACTACAGGTACCATGGACGATGTGTGTATGACATCGAGCCAAAAGATTTGGGTCCACTTCAAGTATCATTTCCTGACATTCAGAGCAATGCTTATCTCAATGTAGAAGTTCACACATGCGCAAACTCCGAATGTAGTCAGTGGAGCTACAACGGTTGGATATCAGGAACATCCATGAACTTGTGGTTGCCAGATGCTCAGATATACCATGCTGCCTTCAGAGTCAACGTGTCGAAGATGAGGATTTCATCTTACGATTCTTTCTTGCTCAAATATGGGCCTGTCGTCCATGACGTCTGCGGCGATGGAATCCAAGAGGCTTTGGAGGCTTGCGACGACGGAAACTTGATCGATGGGGATGGGTGCTCTTCCAAGTGTAAGAAAGAATGCATAGCAGCAAACTGCTGCTATTTCCAGATGTCCGCCCTCGAGATCTTTGCCAAGAGATACGAGGACGAAGTAGCTCCTGGCGCCACATGTGCCTCGTTTGAGATCAACGACAACAATAACGTCATGGGGGACATGGAGCTCGCTGTCGTCCCAACACATATGTACCCAACTGTCTGCGCACAGTCTCAAGTTGACAGCTCTTCACCTACAAGCGTTGTTTTCAACGGATCGTCAACAGGTAGTCAGTACGACTCTGCTTCTGAGACCATCCAGGGTCATTGGAACATGCTCTATCCCACTTCTCTATCCAGTGGGATGCAGAGCATGTATGACAGTTACTTGTTGATCCCTGACTTCGGCTTTGACTTCTGTCTTGAGGGGCAGAATGTGCGGAATCGTTCTTTCGTGAGCTCGAACTCCTACATCTCTTTCTACAACGGCTTCTCCGTCTACTCTGGTCTCTCTCCTTCCTGGCCTTCCACACCGACCTTGTTCATCGGAGGATCAGATACGTCAGCTCAGCTTGTCTTGACGAAGAGCATCCTTGAGAGCGGGATCCGCGGCTTCCTCGTGCGGTTCGAGGGCACGGCATCAACTAGCGGTCAGCTGGGCTTGCCCAACATCATCTGGGAGGTGACGTTCTTCCAAGACAACACCATCAGGGTGTCGGTCGGTCGCCTCGGCAACATGAACGGCCTCTCGATTCTCAGCAATGGCAAGGGAAAGATCTTGTTGCCGCTCAACTTCCAGCAGCACTCTGCCCAACTGCTGCATCTCAGGAACTTGTGCGCTGTCGACAAGCAGCAAACTTCTTGCGACCGACTCGAGTTGACGTCGGCTGGCAAGACACAAGTGTTGCTCAACGAGTTTCAAGTCTTCCGTGGTCGCTCCCTCACCCTCCACTTCTTCTCCAACGTGAACAATCGAAGTTCGCCCTTTCCCTTCAACCTCTCCTGGGGAGGAAAGTCGAAGTCGATCTGCGGCAACGGTCTGCGCGACTGGACCTTCCGCATGCTCACATCGGTGAACTGCACGTCGACAAAGTCGTTGAGCTACACGTCAACGATCAACAATGGGATGGGAGGAGTTTGGTCTCAAAACTACTGGATGTCTTCTTGCAACGTTGCAATCTGGCCTGTGATCAACACAACTGGTCCGATGTATCTTCTTGTCGAAATGGCTTCGACGTCTCTTTATGGCGGGTCCATCATGAACGTGACGTTGAACCGCAACAACATTCCCTTCTCCTCCCCTGACTACATCAGGCCGACTTGCGGATCGACAGTTCCGATTGTGCTAACAAAGATCGCTCCAGACATGCATGGACCCAAGTTTTCGCTTCAGATCAACGTGATGTATCCCAACTGCTGGTACTGCAGCTCCTATCACACGTGCTACTACATCGACGCCGTCGCGTATCTCGCCACTGCTGACGTCTTCGAAGAATGCGACGACGGGAACCAGATGGATGGAGACGGCTGCAGCAGCACGTGCACCGTCGAGTCAGGAGGGACCTGCAACAGCAGCTTCAGCATCGGGTCGCTGCAGGCTGGTCCGGACGTGTGCCACGGCAGATTCAGCGGCATGCGGCTGCAGCTGCAAGGAGGATGTTCGAGCTGGATGTCTATGCTCAACTCATCATCATATCCGTTCTTGTGGGGTGAAGACCCCAGCTACAGGAACTGCTCGCTCCCTCACACGTGGGAAGAGATTGTGGTTCCGGCAGTGAAGAACTGCTCAGTCCAGTACAAGATGGGAGGGCTCGGCCTGCTCATGTCGGATGAGTTTCAAATTTGGATTTGCGTTAAGAACCATCCGTGCTCGCTGGTTGCTAGCAATCCTTACTTCTGCTTTGTGTACGATGAGGTCAACCTGAGGTTTGTTCCTTGGGGAAGCAATTCAGACCTCCACCTCTTTGATATCGCGAAGTGAGAAGCAACTTCATGGTATCTTGTTTATGCTGAGCGTTTTGTTGTGTGTTTGCCACCACAACGATTCATGTAGTGGAGAGATCACCAATAAATCTGTTGATGAATGAAACTTACGTCCCTCTGCACACCGTCATCTTTTGCCTACTGCATGCCCTTGTTTTGTCATGTTCAACAGCAGGGAACGACAAGAGAGTTGATTCTTCGACATCCGACATGTGATTGAGAGGATATAGAGGAAAACAATTCACCACATTCACGAGGAACAAGATTGTATCCAGTACATTTCTCGTGAGTTGTCTGTTTACACAGAAGAGCATTTATGGATTGATTTTCAAACTCCTTGAAAAACAAATTCGTCTGATTTTGTCAAACAGAGAATCGCACACCATCGCTGCGCTGCAGGAGTAATACAGCAAGCTTGTTACGATGCCAACCCAAAGGGTGTGAAATATTTTTGACAAAGATTGAAGGGTTCGATGTTGAGCGCCTTCCACAGGTCCTTGGCACCAAGATAAGAGCAAGACGACACACACAAGGAGATAGTTTGACATGCGGCAGCAGCAGCATCAACACGAAAACGAGGACAAACATCGTTCTGTACCTGTGTCAGCTTGAAGTTGACAAGGCCGGTTGTCAGGTCCTCGAGGCAAATCCTACCGCACCCTTCTTGTTCTGGTCCTCCCCCTCCTCCCCCTCTTCTTCCTCCCCCTCCTTCAGATACTCCAATACCCCCCCCCTTTGTCTCCTCTCTCATTTTTCATTCGCCTTCTCCCCTCTCTGCTCGTCCTCCTCTCCCTCCTCCCTCCGTCTCCACTCCCTCCTCCTCTCCCTCCTCCACGCTCACTTCCTCCCTTCTCCTCCTCCAGGTACACCGCAAGAACAAGCACAATGCCAATGAAAGGGGGGAAGGAGAGAGGAAGGTAAAAGTTTGAAAGGAAGGCAAAGGGAGAAAGTGATGAAGGTTACGAGGGAATGGAGAGCAGGGAAGATACGAGAGGAGAGTGGAGGAGGTGGAGGAGGTGGAGGAGAGGAGAGAAGAAAAGAGAAGAGTAGGAGCAAGCAGGGAGATGTCTTGACCTGCTGTTCAGGTTCGCAGAAAGCTGGATTTGGCCAAGGCAAAGGTGGTGGCTGCTGCTGGTGGTGGTGCTGTGTCGAAAAAGAAGAGGAAGGGAAGGAAGTAGAGGGAGGAGGATGGTGGGCTGGTGGTTCTAGAGGCTCAAAGTGGGGTCCTTGCTTGTTGGTTGTAAATCTTACTCTTCGATAGACCTCCTCCTCCTCCTGCTCCTGCTCCTCCTCCTCCTCCTCCTTCCTCCTCCTCCTCCTCCTTGTCCTCCTCCTCCTTGTCCTCCTCCTCGTCCTCGTCCTTGTCCTCTTCCCTCCATCCGCCATCGCCCTACCTCCCAACTTCCTCCTCCCTTCCCGCTCTACCCTCCTCCCTCCTTCCTCCTTCCTCATCCTGCATAAGGTAACTGAACGGATTGTCCTCCGGATCTTTCTCTGCA